GTCAATCCATGATGCTCCCCACCAGGAGTGAGTAATTCCTTAGGCTCGCTGCTCGGTGAGGAGTTGGATGAGATTCATCATGTAATCAAGTTAGTTTTGTTAGGGCTTGATCCCTAGTATTCACTATGTTCTAAGATTGATGTTGTTATGACTTTGCCATGCTTAATGCTTGTCACTTTGGGCCCGGGTGCCATGATTTCAGATCTGAACCATTTATGTTATCACCATTATATCCATATTCTAGATCCGATCTTGCAAGTTATAGTCACCTACTACGTGTTATGATCCGGCAACCCCGGAGTGACAGTAGTCGGGACCACTCCCGGTGATGACCGTAGTTTGAGGAGTTCATGTATTCACCGTTTGTTAATGCTTTGTTCCGGTTCTATATTAAAAGGAGGCCTTAATATCCCTTAGTTTCCAATAGGACCCCGCTGTCACGGGAGGGTAGGACAAAATATGTCATGCAAGTTATTTCCATAAGCACGTATGACTATTTACGGAATACATGCCTACACTATATTAATGAACTGGAGCTAGTGCCGTATCGCCCTAGGTTATAACGGTCTCATGATGAATATCATCCAACAAGTCACCGATCCAATGCCTATGAATTTATCCTATATTGTTCCTGCTAAGTTACTACTGCTATCATTACTATTGCACCTGTTACAAAACTATTGCTATCACTATTACTGTTACCATTGCTACAGTCACTATTATCAAAACAATCATAGTACTTTTTTACTGATCACGTTGCTACAGATAATTAATCTCCAAGTGTGGTTGAATTGACAACTCAGCTGCTAATACCTTCAAATATTCTTTGGCTCCACTTGTGTCGAATCTATAAATATGGGTTGAATACTCTACCCTCGAAAACTGTTGCGATCCCCTATACTTGTGGGTTATCAGCCTCGATCTGGACTAGAGGGGGAGCAACCTCCCCTATAAAAATTATTGCGGCGTCCGCCGCCACCTTGGCTAGGTGGCCCGGCGGAGCAGCCTCGAGAGCGGAGAACGAGCAAGTAGAAGAGCTAGCAGGAATGTCTGGAGTACCTAGCTCGAGGTTCCGTGTAGCTGCCCGGTGCTCCGCCCGCTTGGAAATGGGCAGAGCCGGGCTACCGTACGGACGCGCCGCGTCGAGCAGAGCGTTACGTCGGGAGGGAGCATTGTAGGTGGGAGGCCGCCGTAGAGTAGGCTACTGTGCACAGGAGGGGGAACCACTTGAGTGGCCACCAGCCCCGCCTCATCCGCAGATGCAACCGACGGAGATGAAGGGCACAGAGCCAGCAGAGCAGGTGTCGGAGGGAGCATTGTAGGTGGGAGGCCGCCGTAGAGGGGCTGGCACAGGGGGCCCTGGGGACGAGGGAAGTCTGGCAGACGGGGCCACCGGGGGCAGCTCGACGCGGAAGGGGGGGGAGCAGCAGGGAGTCATCGGCCACCGGGTCTGAGAGTAGAGGCGCGAGGGCCCGGGAGCCATGTCCGAGGCGTCGAATACGGGGACCACCTCGACTGGAGGGGATCGACCGCGGGGGGTCCCGGTGCGGCCGGGGAAGGGCCCAACGCACCCCCAAGTCCGACAGTCGGTGGAGAGGACGGCGGGGGAGCGAGGCAGGGAGGCCGGGAAGATGGCCAGTCCGACACTGGAGGCGTCACTCCCGTCCGAGGCCCAGGCCACAGGGCCTGGCGAGATGTCCCGGGGCGGCGACGACGCGACCGAGGGAGAAAGCGTGGCCTGGCGACCACGTCCCCCTGCAGCAGGAGCCGAAGGCAAAGGTGACGAAGAGCAGGAGCGCGAGTCCTCTGAGCCCACGTCATCATCAGAGCGGTGGGAACGGGGGTGGCGGCGGCCATGGTAGTCTCCGTCGGACCCCGGGTTGCCATTGGGAGGTCCATCATCAGAGTAGCGAGGACGTCCCACGTGGTTGGGGGGCTCGAGAGCGATCTGGAGGTCGAAGACCTAGTCGTTGAAGAACACCCGGATGGTGGCACATAGCTTGGAGGAGTCCAGGCACTTAACCTGGACCTCCCCCTCTTTGCGGAGGGAGAGCTCGTCAACCACCACCACCTTGCCAAGGATCCTAAACATCTGGCGGATGACAGACTCAGACCTCGCGATGTTTGGGAGCCCGACAATGAGGATCCATGCAGTGTCCAGGATGGCTACCGCCTTTGGGTCGAGGATCGAATCGATGATGTCGACGACGAGCTGGTTGAGGGCGAGGGTGATCTGGCCACTTCGGGTGGCATGGCCATAGATGATAGCGTTAGGGAAGATCACGATGAAGGCGTTGCCGGAGGTAGGCGTGACTATCCATTCCCACTGGCGGCGGTAGAGGTGGTTGAGCTCGGCCTCGATCATCTCCGGGGAGGCCACCCCATCCACCACCATGACAATCGCCTACAGGGAAGGGGGGGGTGGGGGGACTCGGGGACCTCGAGGTGAAAGAACCCCAGCCCCTCGATGTCGTGGCTGTACATCATGAGCTCAGAGGTCACCGGTCTATCCGGGCACAGAAGGGCGGGATGGCCCGGGTCCTTGTAGATGTAGCAGCACTAAGGGTTGACGCGGTTGACTTGCGAGTGGCCCGCCACACCGCAATTGAAGCACGGGGGCAGGGAAGGCCGAAAAACGGGGCCCGGGGCGGCATAGGAGCACCGGCCTTGACGTCTGCGAGGGAGTGGCCTGGTTGCCCGGGCCTTGGCCACGACGCTTCTTCTTCTTATTGGGACCTTGACATCCACGAGACAGACCACCACCCGCGGCGCCCACGGAGGCCAGAGCCGTTGGGGCGGCCGCATGGGGTGGCACATACTTCCTGACCGTGGAGGGGGGCGACGGAGCTTGAGGGCGAGGGGAAGGTGAACGGGGGCACATGAGGCGGAGAGGAGCAGCGGCCGCACCGTAGTCCAGGGGAGGTCGGACGGCGAGGGTACCGCCACCCACCTGCAATAGCCGGGGGGAGCGGGAGCGGCCCCGCCGGCCAGAGCGGCTAGGGGAGCACCAGTCCTCTCTGCGCCCGCCCCGGAGCTCGCGTAAGAGTTCCTCCTCGCGGCGAAGCGCGTCAGGTGAGGGGCGGGGCGGGTCGCGATGATCTTCGAAACGTCGCTTGCGCCGGGCATCGCCGTCGTCCCATTCGCGGGGCATGGCCGGCCGCGACGTGGGAGGAGGGGGTGGGGAGGTAGCGTAGGGCGGCAGGGTTGGCGGGGCAAGCACCGAGTCGGGCGAGAGGACAGGGGAGGGGTAGGAAGGGTTGCTGGTGACGACGGAATGGGGGATCAGGGCGATTGGGAGGCCGCAGGGGAGCCAGATCCGAGGCGTGGGCAGAGTGGGCGTAGGGCACCGGGGGGGCAACTCTGACCGGTCTAGCCCGATAGTGCCAGGCCCAACAAGCGCCAAGGACCGATGGGTCGGGCTGCGGCCTAGCAGACTACGGCCCAACGAAGCGCGACCCAGGGGGCGGCATGGGGCATCCACCCGAAGGGTTTCCCCTTGACGAGCGGGCGCTGCCGCCGCCACCGCAGGCGGGGGGCCGCCGGACAGGGCCAGCCAAGGCCGTCGGAGGGGCTGAAGCGTGTGCAAACGGAGAGACGACGATCCGAAAGTTGCTATAAATGGACAGAATGGCGAGGAGCGGGCGACGGGGGCCGAGAAATCGATGGATCGGCGAGGCGCCGACGGGGACGGGGCCGGCGATGGGAGAAGGCCGTCCGGAGAGTGGCGCCAAGAAGCGCGCGCTCGACCCAGCTCAGAGCGACCGACCACGCCCCACGAGCATCGACGGCGTCGGCGAGCTCCACCTCCCCGCAAGGCAGCGCCTTGAAGCCCGGGCGTCCGAGCGGAGCTCGACGGCGATGTCTGCGGCGGCGGCGGCGAGCCAGTGGCAGAACCCCACACG